ATATTAATACTTTAATAAAAATAAAAAATGTTAACGCCTTTAATTAATTAGGAGTAATTTGTGGTTAAGATCCTTAGCAAAAGTCAAGGGAATAAGCGACACAGATTTGATGACGTGGCCTCAACGTTCCCGTTCGTGCGGTGGGCCCAACAGCGTTTCATTTTAACGTGAAAGTCTCCTACCTCCGACAGCAATCCAACGGTTTGGATTTGTTGAGGTAGTTTTTTGGACGATCGAGATTTACCCCCATTTTCACCGCTTCTTGCGGATTCCTAGGATGACAATTTGCCTTAAAAAAAAAAAATCCCATGAAATTTTGACTTCTCGCGATAATTTCAACAAGCCGATAAAATGCCGATTCACTAATTTACTCATTCCATTCCAACTCAATGTCAAGTTTGACTTACATTACTTTTTTACTCCAATGATTTACTTTAATTGTTTCAATTTGATTTTTGTAGCCTTAGCACTTATGGGTAATTTAGTAGGTGTACTTAATATTTTGATAATAATTTAAGTTTAAATTATGGCTTTTACCATGTTAATGTTTCATCTCCTACCTTTAAATTGTATCTGTTTTAAAAATTTTTGATTTTTGTATAAATTTTAATTAGATAGTTTTCTATAATAAATAAATAATAATTAATTTTTTTAAAATATACAATTTTTTATTGAATATTGAATATTTTTACTTAAATAAAATTTTTTATTTTTTATTTATTTACCATATAAAATTATTAAATTAAATTATATAAAGTTGAGGAACCATAACAATTGAAAAAAGAACAAAGGGAGTAGTAGCTTATAATTTAGAAAAGAATGTCTAATATCATACTACTGTAATATCTATTAGAGAGGAAATGATAATACATGCTTATAAGTTATAACATAACATGTTAATAATTTTTACTAATTTTTTTACTTGATAAAATACTTGATTAATATGTATTCTAAACTTGTTTTTTTTTTATTATAGACCTACTGATATCCAAAAACCCACTGGACTATCAACTAATCCAGATTCAAGCAGGGCAAAACTTAACAAGCGGCAAAACCATTTTTCACGAGTTTTAATAAAACTGCATTCTCAGAATTTGAAACCAAAACCTCTGATTAAACTGAAAAAATCTCCTACCAACTCATCCACCCATTCGTGAGATGTATTCTTCACTTGTTTAATGTGATATAAGTGTTGTTGCTAAATATTGTCAATAGATCATTATTGATTTATAATTTCAATCTTTAAGATGATTATAATATATTTAGGAATAGTATTATCAAATTACCAAATATATATTGACAACATTCACTAATAAAAGCCATAGGTAGACCCCATCTTCTTGTGTTCTGGTTTTATATATATACCGGGGAAAATACTCAAAATGAAGAAAGGGAGTAAATGTTCCATTTTTGATGAGGTTGGTTATTATATTAATTTATGAGGTTAAGTGGTTTGTTAGTGTGCCATTTTTGATGCTCTCTTAACCAACATGTTAGTTTGACAATGACAAATGACAAGAAAGAAGGTTAATTAAGTGTATAGATAAGGTGGAACATGACATGTTGATGATGCAAAAGGAGCTGGGTATAGGTAATCTGTTGGGTCACACTGGCCTGATTATGGTTGAGGATTATGACATGTTTGTACTCATTTACAAATCCTGCAAAATGAAGTTTTACAATGTCATTTCTACTTTTAATTTTCTGTTTTTTCATTGTAGAAATCAAATGAAATTATAAGAAAAACCCTTAGGAAATTAACTTAGTTGGTAAGCTTTTGGAAAACCCTGAAAAGATTATTGTTCCCAAATACTTTTGTTGTTGAACATGGATGTTCTGTCTTCAGTCATACAATCATATACATAGGTGCTACACAAAAAAGGTAAGGGGAGGGGAGGGGGGGAGGGGAATGGAGGAAATCATAGAGAAAGGAAATAGTTGTATTTGCTACCCTGTCTTTTCTTTGTTTCCACATCTGGAATAATACTTTATCTACAGATGAGCTAATGTTTGTGTTCATTGATTAAAAATCATTAAAGCAGTAGCTAGGTGAGGTTTGCATGAGGAAGACAAGAGGCAAAGAGAGATAAAGTAGTAGACAAAAAGTAGATGTTATGGTGGATTTTCAATGTCAAACACAGCACTGAATGATACCAGTATAAACCTGATTCTTGCTTTTATGGAAATGGGGTGGGGATAGTCAAAAGCAGTCATTATGTGGTGATGGAAACGGAGAGACAGTGCTCATCTCATGATTCCCAAAACGTCATTTATATTAGACAGATACATGTCACAGATTTCCCAAATTGTCAAATTGAATAAAATGCATACAGATCCTGGGAAAAAGAATTGTTCGACATGAAAACATATTCCAAAAACAAGATGATCATTGGAGGAATAAAGTTGAAAGAATAATTCAAGAGTAATATGGGGGGCCAGGGCTGGGGGGCAAAACCTAAAAACAATACTATGTGTAAAAATACCTTCATCCACTGTCATGACATGGAAGTCCAAATCCAACTCAGAATAGCACTTCCAATTGAATCAGCGGCAGGCGCATATAGAAAATAAGAAATCATAAGGAAACAGCTGCTCTCTCCTCTACATTTCCCACCATCCCTGTGGCACCCTTGGCCCAGGCTAACACTAAATCCAAGAGAGTGACCTCTGTATATCTTCTTTATAACACTTCAATTATTGCCTAAAGACTTATCTGCAAGCTACTTAACCTTCTTTTCGTTGTTGGGGCAACTATAAGTTTGATTTTTAGATTGTAACCCAAACGGATAAGAAACAGGTAAGGGTTTTTCTAACCCTAATAATCTAATAAATAATTAATTATTTAGTCAAAAAATTCTGTTAAATTAACATTAACACTAATAATCTAATAAATAATAATTATTTTATAGTATTTAGTTTTATCTTATATTTAAAAATTAAAATTATAAATGTAATTAATATCAAATTGATTAATTTATTAGATTAAGTATAATTAACATTAAAAGTATTTTAAAGTACAATTAATTAATTATTTTATCTTATGTTTTTTTTTTTTTCTGTACATTTGATAATAATGAGCTATACAAAAAATAATTAATCCTCTTTTTACTAAATCTCTTCCCACTTGTATTAAGCTTAAAACTTGAAATTTCTAATTTCAAATTTCAAATTCTTAATTATTGAATCACCTTTTTTAAGATATCTTATATTAAATTAACATCTAGTTAACCCAACTTAAACCTGACTTAATCTAATCGAATCTAAATGATTTCAATCTAAATTATACTATATTCTGAATTGATACTTTAGATCTATAACCATACCCATAATAGATGAATTAGATCAAATATTTGGATTAAGTCCAATTTTGCCAAATCTAAATATATGCTATGGATATGAAGAAGCAGTTCGTCCAACTGTGAGTACTACGATCTTCAGAATTCCGAAAATACTTTATTCCAACCTAAGGAGGGGGCATAAAATTTCTTGGCTGGAACAAGTTTCTTGGAATTCTGTGACAATGATTTTATGCACGCTATTGACATTATTTTCATTTTTATTGGAGCTTAGAAGACATTTCTTTTGTTTTTTTACTATCCTCCCAGTATTTGATAACTACTTTTAAGTCTTAATTAATCTAAAACCGAACTGCATCGTACCCCATTAAAGAGTAACTCCCCCAAAACTTGTTTCTCCATTCACAAAAGTCAAATTTAAAACTTTACTTAAAAGATATCACACTCCTTTCACTCGAATCAAAAAATCGTCAATGCTTAGAAGACATTATTAGCAAGCCATTTTCTATCAAAATGAAGATAGTATTCAAAATCCATCATATTACACATACAATAAAAATCTAAGAATGCTTAATCCTACCTTAATTGACAATTAGGAGTAACAGTAACAACTAAAGGACAGATGACCATAACACGGCCTACCGGTCCATCCCATTCCAAAACAAAATTATATGTACAAACCATTGCTGCAAATACACTTTCCCGACCAAAACTGAATTGTGGCTGCCAGATCCAGCTTCCCACCTTCACTCCAAAACAGCTACCTCTTGATCAACCCTCCAATAGTTTGCATCATTGAACTCCTTTATTCCAGCTCCACTTTCATCAGAATTCTCCTTTTCAACAATCTTTGGAGCAATGTTCCTCTTCAATGGCCCTGCTTCCCCAACTATCCCCTCCTTAAGAGCTTGTTCCATTGCCTTTTCCGTGCCTTCTAATTCCACACCAACAAATTCAACATCCTCTTCAAAAAGAGATGGTACTGTTGGAGATCTATGACTTAAATCACTGCTCCCTAAACTATCACCAGTATCCATGGAGATTGGGGAACCATTTGGAAGTATGGATTCTGCGTTCAAAGAGGAGTCGACATTAGCTGCCACTGTCTCCGCGTGGGTAGGTAAGTTGATGTCAGAAGTAACATCGTCAAGAAATGGATTCTTGCTTGACCCAGCTGCTTGCAAACCCGATGGTTCCCCCCACGCAACCCACTCTGGTAGAGGCCTATCTCCATAAAAGCCTTCATTGTCTGTTGGGTCAAACCTGAAGAATCCCAACTCATTTGAGGCATCTGCATTCCGTGTTTGTGAATTAGTCTCTTCAGTATTCAAAGAACCACTAATAGGAAAACCACTCGTTGCACTGGAAGTAGATGTGCTATTGACATTGTGCTTGCCTTCAGTCAACTCATCATCCTCCCCAACAACCACTTCATCATCACTACTGCTGTTACCACCATTTGCAGTGCTGCTCAAGTTGATTTCATCCATCATGTCTGATGGGGATGAGCTCAGAGGTGCATTACCAATTCTATCATCTTCGAATGCAAACCAGTTGGAGTTTGTGAAGAGACTGCTGCATCAAGAAAACATTAGTTACCTACCTTACAGTAAAGGTGAAAAAGAATAAATTTCTCCAGTCCAGTGTTGTCAAAAGGCTTCATCGCTTGAGGAGTCCACTGTTTTGATGATGCAAAAGTTTGAGGAGTTTGCCCGAGTCTCTGGGTTGGAAGTGAATAGAATGAAGAGTCAGGTTTTCTTCAGTGGTGTTAGAGAAGGGCAGAAAGTTGCTTTAATTCAGAAGCTGGGTTTTGCTGTGGGGCAGCTTCCAGTTAGATATTTGGGGTTGCCATTGATTTCAAAAAAGCTGTCTCCTGAGGCATGTCAACCTATTATCGATAAAATTCATCAGAGAATTGGCTCTTGGGCAACGAAATTCCTTTCATATGCAGGTAGAGTTCAACTAGTTAACTCTGTTTTATTTCACATTCAAGTTTTTTGGAGTGGTGCTTTATTGATTCCTAAGAAAGTGTTAAAGCTAATTGATGCTGCTTGTAGAAATTTCATTTGGTGTGGTAAATGGAATTATAATGCAATGTCTCTTGTAGCATGGGATGATGTATGTGTGCCAAGGAAAGAAGGGGGACTAGGGGTGAAGCAATTGCTGCATTGGAATAAGGCAGCATTGGGCAAATTGGTTTGGAATATATGTCAACATCAAGAGTTGCTATGGGTTAAGTGGGCACAGATGGTGCTGTTGAGGGGTGAAAATTTTTGGAAGGTTAAAATCCCAGCAGATTGTGCTTAGACATGGAGGCAAGTTTTAAAACTTCGTCCTCTACTGAAAAATATCATTTGGATGCAAGTGGGAGATGGAAGACAAGTTTCACCATTCTATGATTGGTGGGCAGGTGAGTTAAGGTTCTGTGAGTTGATCTCAAAGGATGAGATTGTTGTTTGGGGCCATGACCTTACAGTTAGTGAGTGGTGGGATGGTTTAGATTGGACCATTCTAGATAGTTTTGTGAGAAGACATCCCATGCTTGTCCAGATTATTAGATGTCAAAAACTATCTAAACAAGTGGACAAGGCTGTATGGAAACCTGCAAAGAATGGTTTGTTTACTATTTCAAGTTGCTATAAGTTCCTAAGAGTGAAACGCCCTAAGGTAGAATGGCATCATATTGTTTGGGTAGGGTGCATTTTCCCGCGACATAGATTCATCTTTTGATTGGTATTGCAGGGTAGACTAAAAACTAGAGATTTACTAACAAGTAGAGGTATGAGAATTGAGAAAGGGTGCTGCTTGTGTGGTAGATATGATGAAACGTGTGAGCACCTGTTTTTTTATTGTAGTTTTGCTAAAGAAGTGTGGAGGTTAGTCTTGGACTTCTTGAATATTCACAGACAACCAAAAAGGTGGAGTGTTGAATGGCTATGGTTAAAGAAGGCATGTAAAGGCCGATCGACGCAGTCAAACAAGTTGAAGGCTGCAGTAGCTGCCACTATATATATGATTTGGCAGGAAAGAAATAGGAGAGTAACTCTTAGTAAGTTTTTGGTTGGAAAGGATGTATATAATGAAATAGTTAATTTTTTGAGATTAAAGATCTAAAAGGTGTAATTCCCTGGGTATACCAAGGAGGAAATTGTACATGTCATCTAACATCTAATGGAAAACTTGCCTTTTTCCAAAAAAAAAAAAAAAAGCTTCATCGCTTAAAGCAACTAAGCGAAGCGATCAAAAGCACCACCGCTTCAAAATTTCTAAAGCGCTCTACTTAAAAGAAGCGATCTCGAAGCGATTGAAGCGATAAAAGTGCTTTGATGTTGAAGCGACTGCTTCTTTAAAATGACACAAAATGACAAAAAAGTATAGAAGCATTAAGGGTTTAAATTGGAACTTTGACTCCAATTAGGGCCAAAACAAGAAGCTCTGTGCTTGCTGACTACCTCTTGCCCTAATTTTCTTTGTGATTCCATTGTCTTTTGACTTCATCATCTTCCTCAGACCTAACTTCATCAATTCATCTGCCATTTACAAGAAAGTCCCTTCTTGGGTTTTTTTTTTTTTTTTTTTTTAATTTGCATATTCTCCTTCCCGTCTCTTCTTCCCTGACTTCATCCTCTTCCCTAACTTTTTGACATATTCTCTTCTTTCTTTCTTTCCTTTCTTCTTCTTCTTTTTTTTTTTTTATATCAGCAAATTATCTTAATTTAGTTAAGATAAAAGTTTCATGTAAATATTAACAGAATTCTCTAGCATTGTCTTAATTCTACACTTCCTCTTTATCCCTCCTTTATCTTTCAGCTTTATTTCTTGTCAGTAAACTTATAGCATTCAGATCTATCTAGTCTAGGGGACCTTGATTAGGAAACTTAATATCATCTACATGGTACAGATTGAAATAGTCAGTTTTTCACTTTATAAGACTCCTGAATTTCAATTCCAAAACAGAATTTAGTTCTAGTTGCACTTAGTAAAATTTAATTTAAACCTGTCACTTGCACCCTCTTCTACCTTTCCACTCTTAATACTCTTTAAGTTTCTATAATAATTAGTTCTATTCTGTTTAATAATTGATCACTTCAAAGTATTACTCGCTTCACTTCAAAGAAGCGATCGCTTCGCTTCTTGCTTCATCACTTCAGCATTTTTTAGGCCATCACTTCACCTCGCTTTTTGCCTTTAACAACACTGTTCTCCACTGAACATGCTCAAGAGTTGCAGGTTTTGTTTTCTTGAACACAATTTCCACTACCAAACAATGGCAGAAAAACTCACCTTCCTTGGTCATCCCCAAGCCTTAGGGATGATATGACAACCTCTGCAGATTCATCATCAAAGTACATATCCTGCACGTCACAAATCATCTATTAAATTCTACATTCCAAACAGAAAGTTGTTTTATTGATTTATTTGCTTCAATTAATTTTATAGGGCAAATAATCACACCTAAAAGAGTTAAAATTAGCAACGCCCTTCCATCATGCCCTTTTGGGAGGAAGAAATGCCAGGGATACTAGGCTGTTCTATAAATTATATAAAAAATAATAATAATAAATAAAGAATAAAATCACTATCCTTACCTCATCATCTCGATCAAGAACTCCATGTTCCTGAAACCAGGGGGATGAAACAATTTATCAACCAAAAATGTTTAGACAAGCAGATAATGATTAAGGGTCCAGATTACTTACCTCTCCAGTATCATCACTCCCATATATTTTGTATCTGAAAGCTTGACTCAAGTTATTTGCTAGAGCTGCAACGTCATAATCCCTGTCATGGAGATCATCCTCATCACTGTCCCTTGTTCTATCTTGTAATGCTGTTGGACGACTGCCACAAGGGGAATTCTTTTATTAGCAACATCATGGATAATTCCTTTTTCATTAGGTTTAACAACCATCTCAATATTCCATTTCTACGTTGTAACTCAGATTAGATATGAGGAAGGGAATACCCGCAAGCCCATCGATAAACATTTTCAACTACATTACGTTCTTGTAAAACACTAGAGTGCCAACCATTCCATTCGCTATTTTCCTGCAGAGACCAGAGAATAAAATTTAAAAAGCAAAAATGTCAGGAAATATTTTCAATGACACCAATAATGCAGTAAAACCAGTATAATTCAAGACACAAAAGAATTTTAACATAACATCTGACTGATTACCCACCTGAAGACATGCCTGGATCCTGTTATCACTATTTGCTAGCTGTACAAGCTTATTCGCAATTCGTGTGATGTGTCCAATGTTTCCTACCCGTGGTGCACATTTTCCAGCAGCATGCCAAGTGGGCTGCATGATCAGGGAAATTTAAATTTTAAAATTAATCCACATCAGTTACAACACATCAGAAAGAAAAGGATTTAGATATGTTAATTGTCCATGACTAGCAACTAACTGGGTCTTGTATCTCCATACCTGATTAGCCTCACCAGAAAGAATTGGATGTTTGTCAGTTTGGAGAATTTTGCCAATCAAATCACATTCTACAAGAAGATGACTGACTATCATGTCATTCTTGCTTTCAAGACATGACAGTATTATACTCTCCACATGGTGATGCAATGCATTATTGTATGGGTACCTGCATCATTTAGAAACACAGAAACTATTCATTATAGTCTCAGCTACAAAACCAAAGAATTAACACCTCCAACAAGAAGGCATTATGATACTCAGATCCTGTCTTTTCGGATCAGATTCTCAATGTCTTGTGGCATTGAACCCAATAGAGGGAACAACTTACTCAAAGAAGAGATCAAGGACACGTCGCATTGTTCCTGAGCTGACCAACTCCTTCTCCGCAATTTCGTTCCCAGTTTTCAACAGCACTGCTATGAACTCCACAATCTGAAATGAATAGAAAATTATGTCAGAAAAAAGCACATGAGCAAAGAGATGGTTGGATAACATTTCAATGTCATAAGGCATAAAAAATTTATAGTTGATTAAAAAAAAATCAAATTTATAGTAAAAATGTGAAAACAACCTTCAGACGATGGTTCCCAAGGGGTGGCCTCAATTCCCCATATGTGGTGGGCAAAATCTTCTCATCAGATGACACACTAAGAAGCATAAGCAAGTCACCTAAACAACAGGACGGTTAATCATGGGGACACAGCCACAATGAGAGATCCAACATAAAAAAGAACAAATAAAACTATGAGAACCATCATATCCAGCATTTAGCACCAAAATTTGCACTCACCAAGTTTTGGCAGCATTGCACCAACAGTCTCTGAGTTTACTGGGATTGGAGATTCATACATATGTTGATTCCTGAATGAATGCATCAAAGGAGAAGCAACTGCTGATCTTTTCGGATCCAACAATGAAATGCAAACTGAAAGCGAGTTTACAAGGCCAGATTTCGAATGAGAATCTTCCAATGCATGGCCAAATATCCTTGCAACAAAACTGTAAATGGATCCAACCATTAAAACCACTGACCAAATTACAGGTAGAAATAAGTGTGAAGAGGAACAGGGTAGATGCTGAGAAAAGAAGAAACTAAAGCCCATAAACCTTGGACTGGAGAGTTTAGTGGCTAAGGCTGAAGGTGCATTCCGTGTTATTGAGCATAGTGTCTCCGCTGCATTGGCATGAACTTCTGGAGGACACTGGTCCAAGCAAAAGAAAGTTGTCAGACACTTGTTACAAAATATGCTATATGACAAGCTGTAAACCTCCAAAAAATTTTTCCATTCACCTCTTTGAAATTCATCCAAAGGAGCCTTAATCTTCATATTCTATTCTTCCTTTATATATACGTCACTTCAGATTCACATGGGTTTAAAATGTTAAGAAAGGAAGTCTCACTTACAGATGGACTCAATTTATCCACAATCATTTCCAACAAATTGCTGTCAGCCAACCATTGCATCACATCGATAAAATTGGGATACACATGATCATCAGCTCCTACTAGTCGAACCAAAACCTGTGAAAAGAGTAAATAGCATATTAAGGTTCAGCCAAGTGCAAAAAAGGAAAAACATCATACAAAACCACCCCTGAAATGATATTTCTTTAGGAAAAAAAGATCCCAATTACCTCCATGATGGATGTTATTCCTATTAAATCAACCAACTGACTGAAAACATACTGATGCACCTACATTAACCAAAGGGAAAAAATAAACATCATCCATTGTTCAGAAATTACAGGCTACCAACAAAAACAGAAAAGCAGCATCCCACGTTGACAGAGTGATAGATTACATTTGGAAATCCTTACAGCATATGAAGTGCCAATTACATAATTTCAGGAAAACCATAATGTAAGGTGAGCAGGAAAACGTTAACTTACTTGTACATAATTCATAAGTGGCACTGTCTTCCGTAGCATAAGGCACACAACAACCTAAATATAGCATAGAGAATAGAAAACATCTATCAAAGGCAACAGTAACCAAACAAAGAGAAAGTGACAGTAAATATAACATAGGCAACCCTAATCCATAAATAAAAATACCTTGCTAAAATAACCAGCCAGCAAGGCACTATGGGGACGATTTGGTTCCAAGAAGGAGAAAAGTAAGTTCATTAACTGCACAATTACAGAAACATATGATATTAATTAATACAAGGAAACAATAGTAAACAACAAAGCATCTATATACAAAGTATTATGAGAAACAAAAATGAAGCCATACCTCTTCCTCCTCAACTAAAGTCGTAAGGATAACATCAATTTCGCATGTAAATATCTCACAGGCAATGAAGGAGAACCTATTATTGCCAAAACAAATATATTATTTTTTATTTAGGGTTGGGGGGGAGGGGGAGAGCGGAAAAAAGTATAGCTCATATTTAACACAGATTATTTACTTGAAGGCTCGTTTGGTATCAGCATCTTCAAGAGGCTCTTCAACAATGTAGCGCAACAACTGCTCTACTTGAGCTCTATCTCGTAGACTGAAAATAAAAAGTAAATTAAATAACCAAAATGAATCCTGTATCAAAGAGATTTGCTGTGTGTGATACAAAGAACAGTAATTACAAATTGATGAGTCGACTATTTAAAGCTTTGCATTCTTGGATTATTTCTTCCTCATCCAGTAGCTCTTCCAACGTGAAATTTTCCTTGTCTAGCATTGACTCCACCTGCAAAGGAATAACACCATTAAAATAACTAATAAAAACAATACGTAAACATTGGCAAAATTTAAGCAGGCACTACAACAATCTAAATCTTCATTTCTCAAGAATGCAGTGTACTACTGTGGCAGTGTACTACTGTAGAAGTGTACTACTGTAGAAGTGAACTGCAAAACAAATTAATGAAAAGTAGACCCCCCTCCTCTCTCTCAATTATAACAGCATTCACATCAATTAAATGCCAGCATTACAGAGGAGGGCATAACCTCACCACCACCCCTCAAACACGGAACATTTAGATTTGATTCCGCTAGACACATAATGCCAAAGGAAGACAGAAGAAAAAGAAAGTGTGGCCTTGAGCAATACATACGGTCAAAAGATAGCAGCATTTCCTACTCACTAAATTAAGCACATTGATCAAATAATCAATAAACTCTCCCTTTGATGCAAATCACCCAATTACTTCACCACAGCTCGACTAACCCAATGCAAATTCCAATCAACACCATTCACAACCTCAAACAAAATTTACTACCTGAAAACAGAAACACACAGAGACACCCGTTGTCCATACCCAAAACCCCAAGCAACTCAGTACAGGAATAACGAATCAAACAGCTCATTTAGCCGATTTGAACATCAGAAAAATCACAAAAGAAAACAATAGAAGTAAATGAATTACATAAACAGATACTTCAAAACACGATTTAAAATTTAGGAGACCAAAAAGGCATAAATTCACTCACGGGAGAGGAGGGTGAGAGAGCTGTGAGCTTCCAAAACATGGTGAAGAGGTTAGATAGAGACTGAGTAGAAGTGGAAGCAGAAGCTGAATAGATCTGTAAACCCTTAGCGAATCTAGGAAAAGGATGAGATTCAGGAGGTAGAAGAAGATCAGCTCGAAAAAGGGGGAAAGAAGTAAGAACCCTAATTTTGGACGTGGACTAGGAGAGATCGAAAGTAAAAGGCAGTGAAGATCTAGATCACACGAAAAAAAAAAAAAAAAGAAAGATGGTTATGGAAAAAAAATTTGAATAGAATTGGTGCTGCTGCTGATGTTGATGTAAATGGACAAATGGGGATGCATGTATGTATGATTTATATATGTATGTGTGTAAATGAGGTGATGCTATGCATTTCAGCACATGCACTTGCATCGCAATCTTAAGTTTTTTTTTTTTTCCCTCATATTGTAATAAGGGGCACTTTGATATGGTAATTGTTATTCATTAATAATTCAAGCAATTTTATTTATTAAATTAGATGAAATTTGTTAGTTTCAAAATTAGTATATTAAATAGTTCTTATATATAGATTTGTTTTTAAGTAAATTTTTTTTATAAATTTAAAATATGATTATGTTAAAATGATAATTTAAAATTAACTTTAAAAAGGATTTACAAAAAAAAGGGTAAATTATAATTAAATATATTAATAATTGCATAAGATATAAATTAGCATATATGATGAAAGTGCTGGGTAAACTCATTTGGTATGGTTGTAGGTTAATTTCAATTCATTTTTCTTGGTGGTTGAAGTGTTGTTGGACAAGGGTCATAGTTCTAGTTAAGAGAAAGCTAACCATTTTCATGGAAGACTACTATGGTATAATCTCTTCAAGATAAGTAGCTATCATATAGGGTCGGTTTGACTTAAGAAAAATTTTTGTTAAGTTTCAACAAATTTTACAAGAAATTGTTTTTCTTCATATGTAAGATAAGATATTATTAGATACTTGTAAATTAATAAAAATTATCTCAAATATATATATAATTAATTTACTAAAAAAATAGAGATTTTTTTATCATATGTCTTTAATGATGCATTTATTGTACTTTTTTATGATAAATATATATAAAAAATGTAAAAACTAATATTATTTTTAGTATCAAGTGAATTTAATTAAATATTTAATAATTTAAAAGTTTACTTTTTTTTAATACAAATTTATGATGAAATCCAAAAAATAATTATATTTTTTATTATAAAATAATTACAATATTATTGACTTTAATTATAGAGCATATTAATAGATAATTTTTTTTTATCTTGATTACATAATGAGAAATAATTATTTCATATTTTTTTTTCACTCTACTCGTATATTATACAATTCGAATTCAAAATTTTTTACTTACAATAAAAAAAAAATAACAACTTGACATTAATAGACAAAATTCAATCAAAAGAATTTTGCCATTGCGGACACGTGGAACTTAACATAGGCGACAAAGATCGGGGGGCATTTCCGTATTTGTGAAAGCCCGTGGCGTTAGCGTAACGAAAAATGGGAATGGTCTGTATGCATGGATGATGGATGATCATGCCATGCCTCGGAAGCTCAAAATGTAGATGACACGTGCGAATGTTTTTTTTTTTTTTTTTTTTTTTTGCCGGGTATCCGGGCTTTGCCTGATTAATCCGAACTCGACCCGCGTCGCGCACCTGAAAATGGTGGGTGAGTCTCCCAACGGGGAATACTGCGTACACAAAATCTCGAATTCGAAACCTTACTTAAACTGGAATAAGCCGCTTATTACTTGATCCAATCCTTCGTTGGTGCGAATGTTTTTTTTATTGAGGAAAACGTTTTAATAATGTCTTATGGTGCCACGTAGATCATTAAATAACATTATTTACTTTGAATTTGCGGTTTTGGTCGGTACCGACTGCATTTGCCCCTTTCTCATTTTTTATTTTTTATTTTTTAGTGTTCAGGGTCTCTTTGGTAAGTACACATCTCCGAACATTACCCTTTTTTTTTTTAATTTAACAAAAAGCAGATCATTTATATCGATAATTAAAGAATAATAATACTTTTAGTTGCCTCTTTAAAAGATTAAATTTTAATTAATAAGGTGTTAAGAAAACTTACTTTTTAACTAAATTATAATTTTAAATTGTTTAATTATATTTTACTACTCAAATCCCTCATATTATAAATATTATTGTTTTTTACAATCAAAGTTCTTTTAAATTTTTACTCTTGATTAACATTTTTTATAGTTTAAAATTCATTAAAAAAACTCAAAATCAATAACCAAATTACAGGGCAAGTTAAATCACATACAAGTGAGGTATAAATAGAGAATTTAGTTTCACTACTTTTTAATTTTTAAATTTTTTATAAATTTTAAATTTTAGAATTGATTCATCCTACAAAATAATAATATTTAGAGTGTAATTAAGGATTTGTTCTATTCTATTTATGTTCAGTTATACATAGCACTTTTTTAATGATATAAATAACTCAATGGTAAGTTATTTCTGTTGAAAATAAAATATTTTAAATTTAAATAATATAATATGCAAGTGAAATAAAATAAAAGATAAAAAATAATTATCTCAAAATGATTATTTTTCATTATGCAACTAAAATATATAAAAAAAAATACATCGCACCTTTTTCTAAATGCCGTTACTGATCGCCAATGGTGACTTTGGGTGCTCCAAACTCCTAGTTGACCGTTATGCAACTTTCATGGCTGCACGTTCCGGCACTCCATTAATCGCGAAATCTCCGAATTAAAGGGTGCTGTAGTAAACGATTTTCTAACATCAAATCCCATGTTTGTTTCAGTCTGACTGAAGTACATAAGTACAACAAAAAAAACATTTATTTTATAATATAAACTATAAAACAACAAATTCATATAAATCAATAGGTAGAATAAACTTTTTTTTTTTTTTTATGTTAGTTACACAAGAATAAGTAGCTGTCTTTTATCTTTTATTTCATTTCATTCGTCATATATTCGTCACATATCATATGATTCAAATTCATGATCTCTTATTTTCAAAAAAAAAAAATTCACCACAAATTACTTAACTCGTTGACATCGCATAAACTTATTTATCTTTATTATTTGATATAATTTTGTTCAGTTTAGCTTAAGTTTGATTTGCCTTGATAAATTTTGATGGGAAAGAAGCAAATTTCAGATTTTTGGGTGATGTGGGATGTTATGGAATCTCTTTGTAGAGAGAGGATCTTGTCAATGGGTATCGGTATCAGAGCATGAATTGAACAAGCTGAGGGAAGAAAGTATGCCATGTGCGACGGCTTACCCAGTTGAGGATTTACCGACCACCACCGAGACTAATTTGGCTAACAATGGGAAATTAATGCTAAGGATTCACAACTACTTCCACAGTTCCACCACGGCACCGCCAAGATATTACATTACCACTTGTAGCCTCAGTCTCTTCCTCCATGCCGTAAATGGAGACAGTTAAATGTATTGGACTGAATAGAAAGATTAGAACTAGAGATTACTTTGTCTTCAATGCAATTTTCCCACACCAAAACTTTACATGTACAGAACAAAATTTGGGTGCACTAAATGGAAAATTAAATAAATAATGCCAAACCCAAGGCTGAAGATTTTAAACACTACTTTTTCCCTGGTTTTTTCAGCTTCCAACTCTACGTTCAAAGCAGGGAAAAAGCTGGAATATCTCCATAGATGAATTTATGATGTTCAAACAAAGGACCAGTTTACAAAGGAAAAGGCTAAACAGTGGACAGAGCTCTCATCTGCAGCTAGGACTTTCCAGGCAATGGCTTGTTCATATGAAACATGGCGGCCCATTGTTGACATGCAGATTCCAGCCGGCAAATATGCACATCCCTGTCAATGAAAAGTGGAATTTTCAGCTTATTATGCATTGGAAATGAAAGTTCTCACAACAGGAAGAACAAAAGCCAGCTTTATGAAATACTTGCCTCCTGCATTAGCTTGCCAAAGTCAGCACACAACGTCTTGCGTCCAGATTCATCAAATATCTTGTCCAGTGTGATATCTTGTAGAGCCACCAGTGTTGTTTCCAGCATGTCTAGGCCAGCCTGGTTCGCAAAGATGAAAACTGGCATCGACTGCAAAACCCACCAAAGCATTACTCAGAAATGAATTACTTAATTGTGTGGAAATCGCAATTCAAGACTTAGAATTGTGAATATACCTTCAATGAACAGCACAATATTGCATCCTGGTGATGCCAGAGATTTTTCAATAGTGTGTCACCACCCAGAGAATCCGATCTCATCAACTCTCCTCCTAAATAGTGACTGGAGAATGAAATGCAAAAGGAACCATCAACAATTAGTAGTAGAAATGAGGACAATCGAGCTGATTCTGTGAAAAATAAGAAAATGTTCTTGCCTATAGCTTTGACAGATCCAATGAGCAAGTGTAAGAGCTTCTGGAGAACCCGGTGACAGCTTAGGTCCTACAGTTGGACTCAATCCAGATGGAGATATGGCCATGGCAACCCTCTGGACAGAAGAGATCACACTGCGGACATAGTGGCGTGCCATGGTTGCAACGTTCTCCTGTAGATTGCTATCAAATGGAAATTGGAAGGCTATCGTCAACACTGATCTTGTGTTCTGACACAATGAAGCTTCTCCTGCTGTATTGCTTGGTGCTGGGCCCACTTCGAGACTGGATGTTAGATCCAGGGTGCGGCTAGTAGTCAATGAGTCCTGTGTTTCAGACTATAATAATAATTAGTATCTTGGAGAAGAGATTTTTACAGTGTGAATTACATAAGAAGTTAGAAATATTAATGTGAAGAACCCAACTGTTTTCGACTCCAAAGGGATAACACGAAAACCAGAAGGTAGCAATGGAGCATCATCTGGAAACATCTCATCAATTGGGGCAAAAACAAGTTCAGAACAGGCTCCCACAGCATTCTCATCAATTCCACTGCATATCTGCAAAACATCTTATCCAAATTAATCCATCTGAAATACTTCCTAAAGATTGGTTTACACCAAGATCCAACAGGGTGTGGAATGGAATCATTTGCAATTTAGATATAAAAAGGGAAAAAATATGTAAAAGCACCTGCAGGAGATGAATGTCCCTTGATACAAAAGCATCTTCATGTACAAGAGGATGGCCTTCAAGCCGAACAACTTCAAGCAACTGGTATAAGAATAGAATTAGGAATAATAATTATGAAGGTAGCATAAGTTTGTCTTAGACCTATTGATTACATGTAAGATATTATGAATCTACGGACTATGGTGCCAAAATGAGTGGATGATTGAATATAATAGTTTACCTCTTCCTGTTCAATTGTGTGACCAAGTGGCATAATAACTTGACTCCCAGTAAACCTTGTTGCCCTCATTCCAGGATATGCGTATGTTCCAGCTTTCAGTGATGCAGCAGAATATGCATCAACATTGAAATCAGCCCACTCCGAACGATGCTCCCTCAGAAAACGAACCAGAACAGCAGGGGGAACATTCTGAGATTTGAAAAGAGGATAAAAACCATCAACAACTGCCATTTTCAAAGGCAATAGCAATTAGCAATTTGAAAATACAGCTTATAACTTACTTGCAGTAGCATTGAAGCCTTTGCACAGAGAACACCTCCAAGAAATGATAGGGAATTGGAAGGATTCAAAGCGCTGCTCGAGCTCTTGCTTGAATTGACAGCAATTATAACATCTTCAGCACCATCAGAGTTTATTATTGACCATCCATCATCATTAAATCCATTAACAGCATCATTGAAGCCTCTACAAGTATGACCAACACAAAATATTAAAACAATGTAAAATTAAAAATTTTCTAAAGTGCATGAAATGAAGTTCAGTGCTAAAGAAATGAAATTAAAATAATCATGCAACTACCTGCTCAATCTTTGGCTAAAAGTTCTCAAAACAGCTGGCTGCCTGCCTAAACCATAAACAACCTCACCACTAGTCTCCTGGGCTATTTGTCTGATGTAACGCAATGCCTTCATAGAAATCAATGAATCAGTATCTCCTTTCTCCACTTATTCAAAATCCAAGAGAACTGATAAATTTTGGATATATATTGTGTAAGAGTTTTTTACCACTGGTGACTGCGTCTAGACTAGAAGATAAAATTCCAAAATTAAATACACCATGATTTACTTACTGCAATTGTCATCCTCTGGGCCACAACTTTCGATGATTCATAAAGAGGACGTAGGACCTCTGGCACACTCCAAGCCTGAAACAAGGCACAGGAATTTAAGTCTTGCTGCACAAAAGACATTTAAGAGGAAGTTAATTGCAAGGAATCCCACCTCAAGATTCAGGTGGTCAACAATATGGATGATTGATCCTCCGCCATCACATGGCCGAATCAAGTAGCCACTGGGAAGCATTTCCACTCTCACAAACTGTGAAGCAGCAGCTGCACTTGGACCAGCACCAGAACCAGAAAGAGACCTCTCACAGACCTTAGTCATACATAAATAATAATCCACATTATCTTTATAACCATGAAATGAGCAGATGGCAGCAATGCAGTGGAACACAGAATGCATACCACAAGATTGCCATTCTCTAAAGTTGTAGTGTATCTTAGAGTCCAGAAATCCCGTGCAGGAGCCAATGTAGTCGGAGCATATGTCTGAATCAATTTAAAATTCAGTCATTCACAGGATAAGAAAGTGGTTTTGTACACACAGCTAACTTTACATGTATAATCTTGGTCACCTGCATATACACAAGCTCAATGGTTCCACCATTTCCAGCTGGAAACATGGTGAAAACTTCAAGGCTCCGACAGTCTCGGAACCAAGATGGACGATCTTTAAGGATCTCAGCAATCTGTTGCCAATTGTTTAAACGTGCATCAGAGTTATATAGCTTGCCTATTACCAGAAAGTTTCCTTTTTTTTTTTGTTTGTGGGCACACCAAAAACACATACCTTTGTAGGTTCTAAGCTTACAAGACCACAAGCTCTAGCAGCCACTCCACTACAACTCTGTGAAATGGCAAAGATCCCAACCGTATCCGGACCAGGCTGACAACAAGATCAGACACTTTGGCTCAGATAAACATCAGATTAGCGAAGGAAAGGATAACATCACGAGACGCACGAAAAACCAACTAGAAAAAACATAGAGAAATCATATTCATGTAAGACAATGAAAAACCTTCATCCCAGGCATCTGGACCCAATCGACAGCAGTCCCCGTAGCCTTTGAAAGGAACTCTGCCAAGGTCTCCTCCGCAATGGAGAGGAGTCTGCAAAAACATGCAGTAAAAATTAGTGTCTGTTAGAGAAAAGAAGAAAGAGACCATTGTTATAGTCAACCCAAAAAACAAAAAAAATAAAAACATAAAAAACACACTATACCCAGCAGGGTTATTGGCATCTTTCAGTGAATGCTGAGGAGTGGTCACCACAGAGTCACAGCTTGCATCAGTTCCTGCTGGTGCCTGCAGACATATCCATCAATAAATAGCAAAGTGTCAAAAGACCTAGAAACTGTAAACTGCTTATTCCCTTATACACTGCAATGGGCTAAGTGACTAACAGAGTCCTCTTATAGGGAGGAAAGTGCAGGAGATATAAATATGGATGCAGATGTGTTAGGTGTGTTATTATACATAACTAATTAAAGAACCACCAAAAACAACAAGAAGAATGCAAAATTTGAATCATAACCCAAATGAGGATATAAATGCAGTATACCAAAAACTCAATTTCTTGAATGATCTCTATACTGCCCACCACGCCCAACAAAAGGAATTAAATTAATTATTCTGTGGAATGAAAATTCTCCATTTTGAAACTACAGATATTATGAAATGAAAGAAGACGAAGACCAACAAGCAGAAAGAAACGAAGATATACATTCACTGTTTGCAATTGTTGCCGCATATAACCATTCTCGCAAACCAACTGAGACACCTGTTTCTGCAGGCGGTCATTCTCCTCCATCAAGAGTTTGTTCATTGCCGTCAATTTTCTGTTCACAGTCTGCAGCCTGGAAGACTCTTTTCTTTGCTTCTCTCTACACCTGCAAATCCAATTATCGACAAAACCCCTTGAAACCCACATCCAAATTTCTATTTTAACACTATTACCCATCCATAATTTAACCATGTCCAGGTGATATCCCCAACTATATACACCAAATTTGAATACAGCCCTAAGCTAAACAGGATCAAAACAATAACAAGATCAGGAGAATAGAACAGAAGATGTATTGATTATTCATTTTACCTGCGATTTTGAAACCAAACTTTGATCTGTTTAGGCTCGATGTTAGAGAGAATGGGGCACTCCCGTATCAACTGCTGCCTACGCAGAGAACTTGGTTTTGGGCACTCAGCATAAACTCTCTCCAGAGCTTCCACTTGTTCCGACGTGTACCGGACATATTTGCCGCTATCAAGATGCTTGTTCATGCTGCTACCACTGCTGCTCTCTCGGTGCTGCGCCATCGCCATAGCCATTTTTGGGAAGACCCAAAAACCAAACTTTATTTAGGCAAAGGTATATTGGGTGTGGAGAAGCTGTGAGCTTGGTGATAAAAGGGATGGTTGTTTTGGAGTTTTGGCTAGAGAGTTGAGATTCTTCAGCTAGCTCTTAGTAAAGTCCGACCTTTTGTGTGGTGGTATGTATATAGGAGAGAAAGAGAGAAAGAGAGAGAGAGAGAGAGAGCTGAACTCTGGGGATTTTTATCTAAAGCCCCCCCAGGTATAAAAGCCAAGGAGGCTGGCTGGTTTTTCTAGTTTTTGTCTTGTTTATCCTTAAGATAATGAAGCTGGTACAAAAAACAGCTCTGCTTCCGTCCAAAGCAATTCTCTCACTCAAAAAAGATCCAAACTTTGTAACGTTCCACCAAGACCCAGATCGAAACAGCTCCTGAAGAAATCCTGAGACAAAAAAATCCCACCCTCAATCCTTACTCTCCAGAAGAAACACATATATACCCAGAGACCTCATTCTAGCTTCTGAACCCACCAAGAACTTACTTAAAGCAAGAAGATCAGTTATCAAAGGCTCTCTTCTAAGAGAGCCAGTGGTTAAAGCATCAGAGAGCTGCTGTTTTGGAAGAAACAAGAGAAATGTGAGGAGAAAATGAAAGTGAAACCCTAAACATGGTTCTCCCCTCCCCTCAACTCTCTCCAAATTTTGCAGTGACTAAAGAGGAATAAAGGAAAGACTTTTATTTGAATAAAATAAAATAAAATAAAGGTTTTTGTAGCAGATTAACAAAAACCCAGGAAAAACTGAAAAGAAAAGGATTGTCAAAATTGTCAAAGAAGAAGAGATGGAGGGGAAAAAAACAAGAAGTGACAGTGATAACAGTAAGGCATCTGAGCATGAAACTGCAGCAGGGAATGGAGAGAATAAAAAAAGAAGCAGAAGAAGAGAGAGAAGAAGAGATACTGGTTTGCACGAATATCGACAAACTGAGAAGAAAGAGTAGGGTTTCTTTATATTTCGGCGCATTTACGCCTCTGTCCCTTTGGTTTCCATGGAATGACATTGTTAGGTCCAAACAAACAGGGCCAAACTCCATTAAAGCACACTCCTTTTTTTTTTGGTTCTCTGACTGACATGTACAACATATCGGGCAGGGTAAGGCAGATGGCCTTTTGTCAAAATCACGTTAAGTACTTAATAACTGTGCTTTTTTTTTT